TTGTCTGAGGCCGGAGCTGAGCCACCTAGTCTCTCTATTTCATAACAACCTACAGGACCACTTCAATATCAAATCTCCGCAAACACCTACTATTACGGCCTCAGTGGAAGGTCCAGGAGTTGGCGCGAAGAACACCGCAACCACAGAAGCAGCATCTCTCCCAATGCACCACCTGGTGCCTGTCTTGCAACAGTCCCGAGGCCTGCGCCTGAGTTCCCTCCCACTACTTCTTGGTCTCAGTCTCAGTCTCCAATCCAATCCAGGTCTTGGGGCTTCAACGGGAACTTCAAGCAAGAGTCCATCTCCTACAGCAATGGCAACATGTCCTTTAACGGCACAGTGCCTACCAGCTTTGCTTCTACTCTTTGACGCTGCCATCAAGTCTTCACTGGAACACCAGGCTCGGGCCAGGTTGATGATGGCTTCCGTCCCATCTCTGGGAGACCATGCCCCGGGAGCCGAAGGCGACCGATCCAGGTTGGTCGTTTCCAGAGACGTCAGGCATAAAGACCGCTCGCCTAGCTGCCCAAACGGCGTGGAATGTGGCTGAGAAGAGCATGTACTTGATGTTGCCCTCTTCCTGGTCCCTGTCGAGGTGTTGGTGGGTTAAATCTAAACACCCGGATACGGTGGGATCTGATCGAATTCGTCCTTTCAGTCGTTGTCCCGGGCGGGTATTGGTGGGTTAAGGTGTGACACCCGGCAACCGGTGGATCTGATCGAACTCATCCTTTCAGTCGTCGTCCCTGTCGGGTGTTGGAATGCTAAGTTATGGCACCCGGGGACGGTTGGATCCGATCAGAGCCATCTTTTCGATCGCCGTCGAGCATCTTGTCTGCTACATAATTGACGATGTGGTGGACACAATGCAGAGAGTGCGCGTCCTATCATATATCGTCCACAAGATCAACCAGTTAGTCCCCGACCTATGAAAAGCTGAATTCGAATACATTGAGCAATTCGCAGCTTCAAATGGCTCTCCAAAGTTTCGGTCACCAACTTTTCGCGGTATCTTGATCCCGAACGCCAAAATCTGCCGGTGGGCACTTGACGATTAGCTATATCCAAATGGCCAGCGACAAAATTCGCTGTTCTGCTCTCAATGTTTAGCTGTATCCAAATCCCGAACGCAAAAACTTGCCGGTCTATACTTGACGCTTAAACATTTTCCAGTCATCGTCCGCACAGTCAATCACCATGTGGCGGACACAGCGCAGGGCTGCGAAGGCAGGACAACCTGTGAAGTCGATGAGTCGACCGAGAGAAGCGGCGAAGGTGTCGCAGCCTTTCGCAATTTCGTCCATCTGCTCTCTCGTGGGACCGTTGTCTCTACTCATGAAGTCAATTAGCCTGTCCCAGGTGGTCCATGAAGTCGACCAGACGACTGGAGCTGGTGCTGGTGCTGGTGCCGGAACTGAAGCTGTGACTGGACTGGGTTTTTGGACGTGTTTTTCACAACAACCTTCTCCTCCTGAGTCGCAAATCTGGCAATCCTGGGGCTGAATTGGCGTACACAGGCAGCGAGGCTTCTGTACTCCTCCTGGCCGGTGATCCAAGTGTCAGCACCACCAGAGCCGCGGTGCTGGAACTCCCGCCACCGGCGACGGTAGGAGCACGATTACCGCCACCACGGTAGCCAAGCCGAGAAGGCCAACAGCCAAAAAGGCAAACTACGTAGAGCCGCAAATGACTACGGATAAGGATGAGCCGGCTGCATCTGCCCACCACGACATTTTGGACGACTTAACCAGCGGCACTTGGCCAAGAAGACACGCACTACTCCCAACTCCAAGTCCCAGCCCTAGCACCAGCATCAGTTGGCGAGGTCAGGTATTACCAGGAAGAATACGAGCGGAAGAAGAAGATAGATGAGCTATAGAAGCCGAACTCAGCCAACTCCCAAAGACAACGACCCAAAGCAGGGTACAGAGATTCTGAGTGCCGCCTCCATTCGCCTTCAGGGTTGGCCCCGGGCTACTGTCAACAATAAGGTCATCCTCAAGGCTATTCCTACACCGAGCCTGCTACATCTACGACATTCTCTTCGATTGTCTCAACTGCCAACCCAGCTGCTTCCTTGGCCCTTATTCTCGCAATGGTCCTGGATCATCCACCAGTAGCAAATCCGGCCACCTGCCAATGGCCTATTGCGAGCTATTACTACCATTCCATTGCTTCCGGGTCCTGGTCCGTCCTACTAGAAGCAAATCTGGCCACCTGCCAATGACCTATTGCGAGCTATCACTACCATTCCATTGTCTTGGACAACTATGGCTTCGAGAATCCAGTCCCCGGCAACCGGGTTCCCCGCTCCCAGCTCCATCCGACTGTGGGCACTTCGGCCACAGCGTATGTAGACCCGGAGGACTTTCACAAGACACTCAAGCGTCTTGGGGCCGGCGAACATCTAGACCAGGTCAACGAAAGCTCCAGAAAAGTGTTAGAAGTCACCGTTCAAGAGCCAACTCAAACCACCGTGGAGGCACCCTCTTCGCCAGTTATTCAAAGCCCCGTGCCTCAATCTCGAGCGGAACAGACGTTTACGTCAGATTCCGACACAGTCCTAAGGCAACCACCTCTGTGGAAGGCAATCAAAGTCACGCTTGCGTGTCGCCGGAGGCGTCCACTACCCAACCCCCCTGGCTACCCTTCGCCGTCACCACTAGGACAACCCATGCCTCGAACCAGTGACTTGGCAAAGACATGAGAACATCCGCTCTCGGAGTTGCTCATCATGAAGCTCAGCCGGTCAACCAATTTCCCCCGAATTACCGACCATCTGCCACACATCCCCGACGGTCCCGATCATTGGCTTCCCGGAGGCCAATCAACTGGTTCCTCCCAATTGAGAACCTCGTGCCGAACCCATCGACAACTTCAAGCTTCGTGCCGAACCCATCGGCTCAATCCGAACTTGAGGCCTGCGTCTAGCCATGCTCCGCAACGACGAGCTTGCTAGCTTCGAGCTTTCCGACCCTGAGCCAGCGCTATTGTGTGTCTGCCACCAGTTGGGCAACAGGGTCAGTGCAGTTACCCAGATTGGTGAGTCTAGTTTCCTACGCCCATGTGAGGATGATCTCCTGTCCTAACTACCCGACAGACTCCGGCAAGACAGCTGCATACCTCATCCACATCATGGCCACCAGCCACTTTGTTAGAGCTACCAGTTTGGTCCTGCCGACGACTTGGGCCAGCACGATGTTTTGTAGAGTATACTGCATCTACTATACGACGAGCAATTGGCTAGGCAAGGTCAGAACCGATGCCAAATCTGGCTGTCTGGCCGATCGTTCCTGCGGTTGTTGTTACGGGTGGTCCGTACCCGCTCTCCAAGTTGCAGGCAAAGCGAAGCCATATCTTGCGGGAGACGAAATATCCTTGAAGATATCGCTGCGATTCTCCGAGTATGATTGCGCGGACACCTGATCTGAGGAAAGGAGACGGAAGTACACCGAGTGACACGAAGGCTGGATGAAATGACGGGCACCTAGCGGCTACTTGACGGTCTCTCAATAATACACTGGCCTTTTCTCCCATTTTGACAGAGTCTGTCCTAGGCTCCCCACGCCCCAAAGTACCTCTTGCGTTACCACCATGCCCAGATGGCGGAATTAGGCAGATTGAAGTTGATGACGTGCAAAACGTTGCGCACCCAACGTTGATACCGCGAGTAGTGGCGGCGATCGGTGGTGGGTGGTGGTTCTAGCGGGATAACTTTGGTTTTATAGGCCAACGGGCTTACCTGATCCCCATCATCAACAAGTTGATGGGCAAGGCGAAGAAGGTGGCGGTCCATCGTCCTAACACCGGTCAAAGTCAAAGCCAAACCCCAAGTTCCCATGAGATCTTCTTCATGAAGCTCCACCAAGTGCTCCTACTCATGATCTTCCGCCACTTCTGGCTCATGGTTCCCGACACTCGGCCCATCCAGCCACCAGCCCGGAAATGGCCCAGCCGTGAGCTGGCTGTACAGATCTTCAAGGCCACCAGGAGTTCTGCTATCGCTCCATGATGCGCCACAATGAGCTGGCTGTCCAGATCTTCAAGGACACCAGAATTTTTGCTATCGCTCCATGATGCACCACCATGAGCCGGCTGTTCAGACTTCAACGAGGCCAGGAAGTTCTGCTATAGCTCTATCCTGCGCCCTTGCGTCCTTTACGACGGCGGCGGACGTTGGTAGCCGTCGTGACAGATGTCGTGGCCCCAGGCACCGAATTGAGGAGATCGAGGCAAGCCTACTTCTTCATACGATGCGGCATGTGATCCGCACGCAACTGGGCCACCTGCTGCTGGATTTTCCCAAGAAACGTTAACAACGCCCTCAACGCCAACAGCACCGCCAACCTCACCAACGCTGTTTGAAGTCTCTGCCATTGCTGAGCTCGAGCTTGTCCAAGAGGGTCCTACTCGTGTTGGGCCCATGGACTCGCTCAGGACGGCTCGCCGGCGCCCAGTCATACTCCGCAACGTTGAGCTTGCGGGCTACGATGTGCGCACTCCTATTCAGGGCCACTGTGTCCCCGCAGCTGTTCTGGAGCGAGAAAGTGCTTGAGGGCTAAGATGAGCTCATCGGAAAAGCAATCATCGATGCGGCACGAGGATTAACTGTGGTACAACCGCTGTCAGCCAACCGGAAAGCAAACAAGTCGAGGCATGGCAGAACAACACTGAAAGACTAGGAAGGGGCCATAACAGCTTCCGTTTGTTCGCCTCTTTCCTTGACTAGGCAGCCAAACGGGTTTAGAAAAAAGCCTGGCTCATTGACCGCAAACTCATCGGTTGGCTTACCGCTGGATCAAGGGAAACAACTAAATCAGGTCAACATGGCCAATAAGGCACATGGACACTTGAAAGTTCAAATGAGCAGGACTCACCAGTACGGTGCTCACGACGGGCCAACGGCTCATGTTCTAGCCTCAACTAGGGGATACTCTTCTTCCTACAACAAACGGTGAGTTTGATCCCCTTTGCTCGAGCAACAACACGAAGCAGCTCGAGTGTCTCTCCGGGGGAAACAGAAATTTGTCCAAGAATACGTTCTCTCAAGAACTTCGGGGCATGGTTTTTCGCTCCGGTCGCAAAGTAGAAAGGAATGTCAGTTAAATGGCTGCAAATAGAAGCTAAAATACGATCTTGGAAATAGAATGTAAGATGAGGGCTGCTGAGGTTTGAACTGGAAACAGAGAGAGCATTGTGCCCTGGTTTGGCTCAACTCTCATCACCCAACATGGTTTGTTCAGTTCCCCGCAGCACGTCATTGAACTAGATCCCGACAGCCACTCCTTCCGAAAGAAGGGAAGTTTGAAGCGATCATACGCCACAGGATTGGAAAGAGCTTCCATGAACCTGTTCAGTTCTTCTCCAATCTTCCCACGGTGGCAGCCTCATATCTGACTCCCTGTAAGTCATTGCGAACAACTGGACAGCTGACTTCTGCTAACCTTTGTGTGTCCAGCTTCGATCTCCGCCGTTATACGACTTGACACATGCTGTCCCGCCGGCCGCAGAATACCACTACACGCTCCCTTTAGGCATCACTCTGGAGGTCCGGCTACGGAGTCCACTGTGGCCGAGGTGTCTATGGCTGAAGTGGGCCATTGGGGGAGTTGCCGGAAATTGAGTTGTTGATGACGGGCTTGCCGGAGTTCGAGTTGTCTGCAATCGAGTTATCATTGGCCAAGTTGCCAACAATTGCCAGCGTCCATCATCCGCTCATCCAGCATTACTACCTCCCACCCATGCCCAGCCTGTGTGGGTTGAAGGAGGCCATCGAGGCACTTGAGCGGCCGGAAACGCCTAATCAAGTCGGATCGGCCATCATCAAGGCCGTCAATGTCAAGGTCAACAGCGCCGCCGATGCCAACAGGGCCACCAATGTCAACAGGACCTCCACGGCCAACATTGTTGTCAATTTCAACCAAGGATAACCTCCAGCAAATGGAGCACACCGAACTCTTCTTGGGCTTCCCTAGCAAGGGTCACCCCGACACCTCGGTCTCTCAGCAATACCATGGCCGCGGACGGAGATACCTCCGAACCGAAAAATCAACATCTGCGTCTCAACAGTACAACCTTCGCTGTAGCCGTTGGGCAGGCTGAGAGGCCCTCCAACGTGCAGGTCGGCCGTTGTGGCTTGCCTGGGCGGGCTACAGAAACGGCGTCTTCTGGGGCTTCTGGCCTTTGGCACTGTACCTATAAGCACTGACTGTCCAAAGGTTACCCGGAAAGCTACGAGCCTCAACAGAACGCCCATGACACCCCAGCCAAGCGCCGGAAGACCAAGCAGACCAATCCCAACTTGCCCGAGATTCCTCTTACTGAGGTTCATGCCCCCTTTGTCAAGTTCCAGGCCAACGAAGAATGTGTCCCGCCAGCGCGAGCATTTGCTTCAGCACCCTTGCTACTACGCCACCATGAAGGATAGGATCCGGCCAACAACCGTCTCCACCACTTCGACGATGACAATGTTGCCGCTTCGCTCGCTCTACCCACTTCCACCCTTGAGTTTGACTTTTGCATGAGCATCCGGTCAAGTACGAAGTGAACATTGACAACGGCACCTACGGCCGTCATCCCCAACAGCGACAGCTATTTTGCCATCAAGCTGGTTGGCTGCCAGGAAGTTGCAAGGATAAGGGCTCGGTAGCTCTACGGCCGAGGTCGATGCTATTCACACGGGCTCGGAATACCTCTCTTTTCCCAGCCTTTCAGTTGTTGCATTTGGAGACGATTGGAGACCGGATGAGGAGATCCGCAAAGGTTTGTTGTTATGGATGGTGTCTGCATGAAAGAGTGGAAGATTAATGAGCCTAGGCCTGGCCAGAAAGGGCCTCAACATCGCCCTTTAGATCGTGCATCAATGGTTATGTGCGGGGTCCCATTATGGCTCTTGCGAGGCGTTCGACTGATTAGATACGTGCTTTTGTGGCGTCCAAGCTAGTGGGAAGCTGAACCTCCTTGAGCAGAGCCTCGTCTATTTGCGGTCCTGCATTGGATCAATAGAGGTACTAAAAGTTGTATTACGCGACCACACTATATGCAACGGACAAGCTGACATGAAGTAGGCTGCCGGCAATGGAAATGTGCATATATCTGCTTGTGCTAAGCGATGTCAAGTTAGGTTGGAGTGTATATCACTCTATCTAGAGGAGGACGAAGCATCTCATTCTGGGGGTGTCGTCGCCTGTCTGGACTGCACACTTCCCCCCAGTACTTGGCTTGTTATTTTCCCTCTCAAATACTTAAATTTATCTCTCTGTCGTCCACTATAGGTCACTATCATTCCGCCCGATGGACTCAAACAGAACAAAATTTTCCTACGAAGGTCGCAATTACCAAGACTTGAATAACCGCGTTAATGATTCCCAACAGCAAGTCACCATTTAGCGACCATATGCTAGAGGAAAAGGTCCCGTTCCATAATCAATGAGGACGCATGAACTTTCGGGATGACTCAGAGTCAGACATAACTGGCTCATCCCTAAAGGACCTAGATAATGACAACAATGCATATTATTGGCGACCAGGTGATTTCAGACGCTTCCCATATCTCGGTTACACATATTTGTTCACGAGTGTTATATGTTAGTATTCCCAGTACCTCAAAGCCCGTTTCACTCTTGGTGTGATGCTTTCGACGCAGCTTCCTTACCTATCAATATTGCAAGGCACCGGTCTCGCCGTCCTTGTCATCCGCTTCAGCAATGGCGATCTAGTCAGCGAATGGTCCGGGCTGCGACAACCTGGTGCTATTTTGGCTTTGACTTCTACCCTAGCGAATTCCTTACTGAATATCGCCTATGTCAACGGCTGGGTCTCTTTCTTTTGGATACAAGCAATCAAAGGCAGGATACCTCTGGCTGATATTCATCATTACTGGGAAGGGTCTATGACTGTTGTGGGCGCCTTCAAATCCCTGTCAGGGAAGAGCTCTTCGCATTAGTATAAGTATGTTCTTACCCCATACCTCTGTTTAGAAACGTTTTCCCGGACTTATTTTGTCTGTAAAAAGGCCTAGTGGATGGTGAGATAGCTAACTAGACGGCTGTCAAGTATCCATCCTCGTCGCCTTAATACCCTTGATCCGTGGCCCTCTCATACAAAAGGCTCTGTACATTCAGACCGTCAAAGTCTTCCCTTTCAGGTATTGCCGATCTTTCGGTCGTGTCGGCAACTGAGTTTTGGGAGCCCCAATACCCTTACAACAATACCAAATATCGACAAGTCTTCAAAGATGTTATGAGGGACTACCGTGCTAGGGTTCCCATAATTATTCAGGGAAGCGAAAGGTGTAACAACTGCTCTATTACAGTAGATGTACGTATTGACCTCAGATCCGCGGACAAAATCAAGCTCTCAAGTTACGATTTGCTAAACCATATACTCCGTATTTATCAAGGCGTTCGGCTTCGATTATGTTCTCCAATCGGAGAAAA